CAAAATCATGCTATGAAAAAGTAGCTCTGGCCAAGCTCAAAATAGCTCCCGTAAACAAAATTACGAGAGCTCTTTTTTTCATACAAAATCAAAAAAGAGCTCTCGTAATAAAAAAAGTATTTTTTAGGCTGATCCCCACTGCATGTTGTTTGTTTTGCATGGGCAAAGCCATCGGAAAATTCAAAATAATAATGGAATAAAAATACCAAAATGTAGGGGTGAACTTGCTGGTTTGCTGGTTCCAAATCGAGTTCACCTCTCATAAATCAGGAAATCTGACATATACCAGTGTTGGAAATAGCAGCTGGTATGCGTCGCTTTCCCACACCATAGATTAATGGCGGGCCGCCAGGCTATAAGTGCTCATGGAGAACCCCTGAGAAAAACATAATTAAAGTGCGTTTTTTCGTCAACTTTTTTCTTGGTTGTCCACCGGACAATGTCTCAGACTGGTTAGGTTGTCCGGCACAAATTCTGGTTGTCTCGGACAACCGGACAACGCTTATTTCGAGCACTGAATAATGTAACCCAACAAGAGTAGGGGGGATCTATTCTTGTTGGGTTACATTATTCATGCCTCCCAGCACATTTTGATCATTAAAATATAGGAAATATAGGACTGTTTATTCTCAAATATAGGAGTTTATAGGACAACTCATATGCTTATTAATATTATAGGGCATTATGGCGTGTTTAATAGGAGTGTTAGCCGATCTGTGTTCAACTTTTATAGACAGGTATATACTTAGTAACAGGAAAACTGGTTTTCCCCTGCTATGATAGTCCATAGTCAGGAATGAGTTCACATCTCAACTATTCCATGCAATATTATTATAGTTGAAATCACCCATTATCAGGTAGTGACTGTAGTTGTGTGACAATACATGACAGAATACATCCAAGAGTTTGTCGTTATTGTCTTGTAAACCACTATCACTCCTATATATACAGCCTATTAATAGTTTGTCACTATTAGTGAGATTAATGTCAATCCAGAGAGACTGGGTACAAGATGGCGTTGCGCAAAAGATGCGTTGTTCCCCGACCGCCGAGAGCGGTTAAGCCGCGCACTTCCGCGGGACTGGGCGCACGCGACCGCGGAACTGGTTGCACGCGACCGCGGGGTGTTGTATGTAGCATTTCGCGCTGCCCGCTATACGAATTCGCGCGCCGAAGGAGGGCGGGCGCGCGAATCCGTATAGCGGGCAGTGTAACATCGTGCAGTTTTCGTCAGACGTACACCGGCTTGACTACGGCGGCCTTGGGGGGGGGGAGGGGCAGCAGAGGCTGCAGCAGGGGCCAGTATACGTAGGATTAGCTACGTGTAAATACTGGCACGGCCACGCCATCACGTGCTCGCACGACGTGCCGTCGCCACGGGCAGCGCGGGGTCAGGAGGTTGGTAAAAACATGCCACGTACGCAGCCAGGGGCACCGCGGCGGCGGCGGTTTTGGAGATAGCATCTAGACCGCGCCAGCCCACGTGGAGCGCCGTACGCGTCTTCGCTAAAACCTCTGTGATAGACATGACGCTATATTCGGCAGTAGCCCACTTCATCGCGTAGCGGCGAATGAGCAAGCGCGCGGTCGCTGAGTGACAGCATTTCTTGGGGTTTCTTGTAGGAGCCATGCACTACGTATTACCCGTAAGGCGCACCACCGCCAAAAATTTCTAGGGGCTGTTTGGAGATGGCCTTTAGCCGTCGATGGCGAAATGTCGGTTGGATTGTGCCCCGTTTTCGCAGAGTTCGTTTTCAGACCCCTGTCTCAGATATCTGTCGAAGTGGACAAAAAGGGGGCGGCGTATTCGCTGTGATATAGTGTTGTTTATCTGTAGTTGTTTATCTGTAGTGGCTACAAATCGTCTATACATGTATAGAGCATCGAATCTGTAGCTGATACAATGGTAGCTCTATAGTAACTATAGCCCGCGTACAGTTGCCGCAGGGTAGTCCGCAAATGCAGACGTTATAACTCCGCTTTGCTAATCTGAGGGTGCGGGTTTATCCATTTACCCATTACTGGGGTCTGCGTCGGCTTGGACTAGCCGCCCGCAGGCCTGCGGCAACTGTACGCGGGCTATAGTTACTAGAGCACAATGGCTACAAATCTTCTACATAATAATTAATTATAATATACGTTAGACCAATAAATTTGTGCCCTAAAAATTTTTATATTCTGGTGATATTTTAGGCCTTTTTTCGACACCAGAATATAAAAATTTTTAGTGCACAATTTATTGGTCTAAATAATAAAATATACGTACCAGTGTTGTTTATCTGTAGCCAATGAATATACAAATTACAATAGCCAATACCTACCACTAGTGTTGTTTATCTGTTTTGATCTGTTATCGGTGTTGTCCAGTATATTATATCCAGTGTAGTGGACACCGACAAGTACGAGAACACAACATCGGTTATTGAACTTTTGAAGAAGATCTTCTATATATCTATAGTATAGATCTTCTATATGACTATCTATGGTTATTGAAGAGATCGCGAAACTAGACTGGTACCCGTCCCTTCTCACAAGCTCGATATAGGCCCTATATCGAGCTTGTGAGAAGGGACGGGTACCACCGTACCAGTCTACCGCGAACCTAACCAAGACACACTGCAGACTGCAGTCTGCAGCGACAACGACCGACCGTAACGACAAACAACTTTTCAGAAAATTAGAAACTATTGTTTCCTATGAGTATGAGCCATTGCACACTGACGCGACGACGACCGACGACAGCCTCGACGACAAATATAAATAGAAACGTTTCTATTTTCCAGCGACTTTCGCCGGCGACACTTTACAAATGGCCAATCACAGCCGTTTCCATCGGCACGTGACATCGCCATTACGTCATATAAATTATAAACCAATGCCAGACCAATGCTAGCCAGGAAGTAGACTGGTCCCTAGCGCTAAACTCGTACCGCCTGTCAGAAACAGTGGGGCCGCGAACCCATCTAACCAAAACGTGGAAGGCTACGATCAGACGTTATTATTGTGTACGTTCGTATAATATGCTGCGTATATATATTACTTTATTATATTATCGTTATACATAGAGCGTTTTTACAGCAATTTATTTAAAAGCAACAGCAGGAGTTTTTTGCCGTCTATGTCCCCCAGGGTACTGCCGGAACGTACCCTGGTCACTATTTGATATGGTTAGGGTTAGGATTAGGGTTTAATAGGGATAGGGTTAGGGTTCGGGTTCGGGTTAGGGAGTAGGCGTAGACGACTCCCTAGACTCGTTAGTAGAGTAGGCGAGATACGGTCCGGCATATTAGATAGTACCAGGGTACGTTTCGGTATACCGGACCGTACCCAGGGTACGTTCCGGCAGTACCCCCCGGAGGACATAGCAGGCTTTCAGATTTGAAAAGTACAGGAGGACTACTAATCACTTCCCTAGTACACCATAGGGGGTCTTTTCACGCTCCATAATCACACCCTTAAGAGGCATGATGGAGAGCTCCACTAAAAAATCACACCCTTAAGAGGCATGATGGAGAGCTCCACTAAAAAATCACACCCTTAAGAGGCATGATGGAGAGCTCCACTAAAAATCACACCTTTAAAAGGGATGATGGAGAGCTCCTTGAGGGCTCTCCATCATGCCTCTTGGGGTGTGATGATGGAATTATGACCAATCCTCAGTCTAGAGTGAAATCCAAAACGAAAATTGGGATGTCATGTCAATCTACTGATTATCATTCATCTTCACCTTCATTCATTCAATGGCTTCGTCAGGATTACATTCTTTTCATCCAACAACCCAACACTAGCACACAGATTAATAAAAGAGTTGATCGGATGTAAAAATAAACTTGTTATTCTGATTTTTATTTATTCTGATTTCCACCTCTCTAGCCAGATTCTAAATTCATGTACCAGCATATCTTCAGCCAAAATATATCACCCAATCCATTCAACAAACCTACCACATCTACTTGCTAATGCGCTAGTACCACGTGATGAGCCCTCAGCCCTACGACTGCTTTCACGTCGGCAGAGAAATCCACTTTCTCGCGCACGTATAGGTAGAAAACGAGGCAGGTACTTGGGCTACCGTATAGGCACTGTATTTGGATGCTTGTTGTTTAGTTGTATTATATATATGATATATATACCAGAGGGTTCACTCAGAGACTTGTACGCTCTGTCGATACGTTTCGTCTACCTCCACTACCACAAATTGTTGGTGTTGCTAACCTTTTTGGTACCCCCCTAGCCTTGGAACTTATTCTATTTCAATAATAATAGACATAACTGGTGCGCGCCGTTTCAACCACCTTTTATGAGGTGCGATGATGCGCGCACCATGGCACAATTTCGGGTGCGCGGTGGAGCGCGAGCGCGATCGCGCCCCTTAAAAATGAAAGCCTGACATAGACCCTCTCAGCGGCACTGTGGAGTGTGGTGAGTGCTGGGTGAACTTTTTCGTTACGCTGTAGCTATATGCCCGGCAGCCGGGCAGCGAGTTTTCAAACCGTAGGATGGCGACGCCAGATTGATGTATCACACGTCTCTGATTGGTGCGTTGGGTTTACCCCGATGCATGCATGTATGCATGGCACATCCATAATATTTAATTTCAATACGGCTGAATAGGCTATTTGGTAGAGCATCTGGCGCTACGTATGAAGTGCGTTAGTTCGAATCCCACCTGTTTATTTTTTATATTTTTCTATTTTTCTATCTTTATCCAATTAACGCAAATATTTACATGATTTATTTACAACAATTTAATTTTTAATTTTTATTTTTTTAATTTAATTTAATTTATTAGTGTTAATTATATTTAATTAGGGTTAGGGCTAGGGTTAGGGAGTAGGGCGTAGGCTGCGGTGGTTTCTGGGATAGGACCTCTACCGCACGTACCAATCCGAGACGCGTGATTCATCAATCTGACGTCGCCATCCTACGGTTTAGAAACTCGCAGCCGGGCACGGTCTTCGATTTCCTAAATGCCCGGCAGTTCCTAACCCTAACCCTTGTTTACTTGAGATAACGCTGAAAATTAAAAACTACAATGATTATGTATAGTAGTTTTCAACGTAATAGATCATATAGTTATTTACTGTATATATAGTTTTGCATATATGTGTTTTAATTGTTTTTATCATTCAATGTTCTTATTTCAGAATTTCGATGCTTGGTCCACTTATTGTGCAATTCAGGAGATGTCGGGAGAGCATGCACCACTGCCGTCCCCAGAACGAGCCATATATGGCTTTGCACTCTTTCTTGGTTGCTACATTACATTAGGTATTCTAACTAGGGAACTATAACTAAAGTATATAATATGTTAACTGGAGAATTGGGAAAATAGGCAGATTGTATTAGGTATATAGGTAGAATACCATTTCTATTGTTAGTTTGATGTGGAATTCAAAAAAAAGTCTTTAATTACACCATGACAAAGATTTTGCACTTTATGAACTTGTTTTTATTGTTGCTCTGTTTAGGTATCTACCTTCTGTGGGCATTCATTCCATATAGCTGGTTCCAGGCAATTGGCCTGACGTACTGGCCCCAAAAGTAAGTATTTCATTTGGTCCATCGAAATGTGTCTATACGGTAGACTTCCCAATCGCATGCACAGAACTGTGAAATGTCTAAAAGTTTCTTTGCTGTATTACCTACCATTAACCATTTTATATTTAATTTTCCTGTATAGGTTAATATTTACTGTTACTTATTTAATGTTAAGTGTCCATCCAATGAGAGAATAACTATCTTCCATCTGAATGTAAATATTTCTTGGCTTGGTACAACTGGCTACATTTTGACAGATCTGTTACCACAGTACTCTGTCTTTAGCAATTTTTTCAACATGCATGGGGTATTGTTATCCGGCTTTACAAAGCTTAGTATATCAAGCTATGCAACTTGTGTCTGTGTGGCATGCAGAAGATGGCTGTTGTCATGTTAGATGCTTAATTAATATGAGCAGGTGTTGTTGTTAAAACTTTATTGTTGTTTTTGGAAAGTTTTAAAGCTGTTAGTTATCGGTTGCTATTGACAATTTATTTATACACGAAGACATGGTGAGATTTGTATGTATTTGTAATTTGCATTTGCAGTGTTGTTGGTGTAATAATAGTACTTGAACATTTTAAAATCATGTAGCTGCACTATAGTAGATCTGAGATCAGTAATTCATTTTTTCAAACATTTTTTTTAGGTACTGGGCAATTGCTGTACCATCCTATGCATGTGTTGCAGTTGTTTTTGCATATGTGATCTTCATAGGCATAAATTTCATTCACACTCCACTTTTACAGTCTGTCTCTACATTCACTGGTGAGGAATTATTTACATTAATTTAAATATGTGAAAGTTCTATATTTAATCACATTCTTCATTGTATATCTTTTTTATTACGTATTGCAGTCAGTGTTCAAAATGGCAACAAAAATTTTACAAATTTTACATTTACCATAGAAAATTTGTGACGTAATCACTTTAAAATAACAGTAATATGGATCTATGTAGCATGCTAAACTGATTTAACTGAAAATAAGTCATAAACCTAGGTTGAAGTAATTGTGGAAATCAATAAATTTATTCCTGTCTGACTGCAACATAATTTTATAGTTTTTCAGAATATAATAGAGTAGAACAATTTTCTCCTGTGACTTTTTTACAGATTGCCATGCAGTGCCACCTGTTGGCCAAGATCGGTTATCACCAGAAGCTGTTCCTCCAATGGGAGACATTGACATCAGCACTGTCTGCCATATACTCTATCTTGAAAATGCTGATAGACCTTGCATGGATACATCCTGACACCACCAGTGTTTGATACATACGTAACCTTCAACTTACTAGGTGGCAAACTCTGCATGGATGCATCAGGGAATACCAGATTCTGTCATGTGTTTATCAAGTAACAGTTTGACACACTTTTGTAGCTTGGAAGTTTCTGCTTATCAGACATAAACTCATGTCAATTATCACTGCAGTAATGTTTACCAAGGGGCCATTGACCTTTGCTTATCGTTCTTGACTTGAAATATAGCCATTAATATAAAAGACATGCTTATCATTAGTGTCCTTGTGCAATGCAACATTGATTAGGCATTGGGTTAGTTTGAGGTAAATTTTGTTGCATTGCATTTTTCTTTGTTTTTCATACACTTCCTTAAAATTCCTAATGTTTGTTTCGCTGATACAGCATTGCCCGGCTTATGATTCATGGTTTGACTTGTTTTGCTTTTGTACATATGTATATTTTCAATATGTTTTGTCAAAAATAATTGCCAAAGCAACAAAATGATATTTTACTGGTGATATCTTTATTAAATAATGCATGATTCAAATATATGTCACTGAATGAAAACTGGTAAAAAATACTGGTATCAACAATACTTAAAAGTATGATTTGTTATGGTAATAATGGGTTCGTAATTTAGAAATGGATAGTAACCTAGCTGGCATTATTATTTATTATACATTTTTTAGGAGCACATAGACAGGGTTGATATTTTGTTCAACATGAGTATAGTGGGTATTGACTGGCATAGAGAATCACATGAATATCAGTGTATTGTCTCAATGTGTCTAGAGTCTAACATAATGACGTTTAAAAGAAAAGTAACGTATTCATAGGAATTGGTTACAAGAACTAGGATGAAAAATTCTGTCACTTGCAGCAGGTCACTCCTTACTATGACGAACAATGGGGTGTGGTGGGGTGGGGGCTAACCAGGGTGACTACCATGGGGTCATATACTGTATATGCATGTAGTCACTTGCATAGACATTTTGAATGTAGTTATGACAGCGAAAGAGATCGGGGTGATGATGATAGGTCCGTACCGACCATGTCCCTTGCTCAAACATTGTGTTCCTACACAAAGTATCATTTCGAACATGAGAGATGGAGAGTAGGGGAGGAGGGAGGGCATTGAGTGATATATCTTAGTGATGGGTGGTATCATCTTGGGTGTACCTATGTGTGTACCCAGCTACAGGTGCCTTGACATGCCCAGGTGAGGTATTATTAAATTAAATAACTTTAGTCAATAATAGGAAATTGACAATATTTGGCGTTGCACAATATATAAAACAGCATCAATACTGCTGTGATTCTTATGACGCAGTCCTGGTAACATCATCTATTGGTGTCCAAGCTAAATAAACTCGCATGTATAGGCCATCACGATAATACATTTTTTTGGTGAAAACACATAGCTTGAAAGTATGTGGTTCCCCGAATAGGTGTGACATCTTACGATTTCCAACTAAAGAGTGAAACGTAAGTTTGCACTAAAGCCAACGGTTATCTAGAACTAGAAGGTAATTGTGACGTACCATCTGCGCTTTGGCACCGAGGAGTAATTTATTCATAAACTTGACTCTTTATAGCAATTTTAAACGAGCTTTAAAGCAATTTTTTAATACCATGAATAGGAAAATGTTTGTTTTACGAGTAAAACCGATATGATCACAATAAAATTTGCCACTACCGAATAATCGGAACCATTGGTAGGAGAAATATGGCACCGAAATATATCCAAAATTTCTGTTAGACCATACTTGTAACATTTGTTACACTTTCCTAGTGATTTATAATGGTTGGGGTTGGTTTTCAAAACGACAACCGTGAACAAAACGAGTTTAGTGTTGGTTGGGTTTCTTTCGGTTGAAGCGCTGCTTCTATGCGCCTAATTCATAATTGAAGTCACAAGATGGCGCCACGGTGTTGGCAGTGCTGCGTATCCCCGTCATATAATGCAGTGTCTGCAGCGGTTGTTGCTACCAGAAATGCCGAGAAAAAGCTGTTGCGCTGTCGGTCATCGTAGGGCATCGAACATACTGTCCTGTAGCTAACAATCATCTTTGCACCAACAGCTTCTCCTGATGATCGAACCTGCAAGCAAATATCATTAGCTTCGTCCTAACACCAATCGCTATAGAATTAATATCACCGACGTGTACACGAGCCGTACGTTCAATTTACGGATCGATACTTCATTGTATGTATCGACTGATACGTCAATAGGTGCCAGGTAGGCGACCCGTGTCTTAGTTTTCTATGAAATACTTTTGTGATAAACTTCGACCTACTGATTGGCAAACACAAGTCCAATGGCGATCCCAGTGGTGAAATCATAACTACGACTTCTATTGTAAAGCTAGAAAATATATTGAAGATAATGATTGGAATTCCACGGAAATTTGGGTTGACAACGAAATTAAGGGTGGTGTCCCAGAGCTTTGGAACACTGGGTTGTAATCTTCCCGCTAAAACTTTCACACTTCATCTCGGACTTAATGCCGCCGCGGCTTCAATGGGAATATTACGCACGATACCACGGTTACAACATAAATACGTGGTTTTACATGTGTATTCCCAGCATCGTGGGAACCGTGACTTCGGTAGGAGAAAATGTTAATTGCGCAATCATTGTCTGTAAGATGATATGAGTTTCGTTATAATAGTATTTTGCATTCTATTCTCTGATGGAAACCAAGGCGCCGACAGGAATTCACCCGAAGTTCAACGGGAGAGTTAAGATGCGAGATAACGCGTACGTACGCTGGACGACGATGGCTGTCAAGGACGACGACGGCTGACTAGCAGCTTAATCTAACGTCGAGGGCACCATTGGCGTCAGTACCGCACAGACACAGGTAAGCGCCCGAGACGAGGTTGGTGTAGCAAGGGTTGCCTTTACATTGATTCCCGTCGCATGCGCGTACGCAGATCACATCGGTTCCCCTGTCGTGTCCGTCCGGTAGTTTTCGTGCACCGAACAAGCGGTCGTGATGCCTGGATAAGTGCGTCATCAAATGTTAAGCGCAAAACATATATGGTTGAACCTTGGAATTCGTCTTCGATTGATGCCTTAAAAACACGAGGAATTGCCGAGCAACGAATTCAACGATCGCATTCTAACATGGGGTTCAACGAAGAATTTATTTTTTGTCGCTTTAATTTTTTTCACGAAAATACAAGCAAATTCATCGGTACTGAAAAACAGCTAAACGAACGCGTTTATTATCGTGCGTTTATTATCGAGCGTAAGGCTAAACATCGTGAAACTACCATGACATTTTAAACGGTGGTGATAAACTGAAAGAAACGTGTGAAACTCGGGAATAAAAAACGTAATAATTATTAATAACGAAAAGCGATTAGAAATTATTTCGATTATTTCAGGAGTAGATAATAGGGAATTTCCTATTATCTACTCCTGATTATTTGTCTATACTTTTTGTGGCGAACGTGAAGACACGTGCGCTGTGTACGGGTTCTGATGCACCGAAAAGAAAACTAAATAAACAATTCAAATTAAGAGTAAACACCCAACGACCGCGTGTACAGTTTAGTAATCCCTATCTCTGTCTCTATCTCTATCTCTATCTCTATCTAACTATCTCTCTCTCTCTCTCTCTCTCT